GATGAAAGAATAGTACAATACACACTGCATTGTTCTGACCGACTAGTACATTACACAACATACTGGGATGAACGACTAGTACATTACTCAACATACTGGGATGAACGACTAGTACATTACACAACATACTGGGATGAACGACTAGTACATTACTCAACACAGTGAGATGAATGAATAGTACAATACACAGTGCATTGTTCTGACCGACTAGTACATTACACAACATACTGGGATGAACGACTAGTACATTGCTCAACATAGTGCGATGAACGACTAGTACATTACACAACATACTGGGATGAACGACTAGTACATTACTCAACATTGTGAGATGAACGAATAGTACAATACACACTGCATTGTTCTGACCGACAAGTACATTACACAACATACTGGGATGAACGACTAGTACATTACTCAATATAGTGAGATGAACGACTAGTACATTACTCAACATAGTGAGATGAACGACGAGTACATTACTCAACATAGTGAGATGAACGACTAGTACATTACTCAACATAGTGAGATGAACGAATAGTACAATACACACTGCATTGTTCTGACCGACTAGTACATTACACAACATACTGGGATGAACGACTAGTACATTACTCAACATAGTGAGATGAACGACTGGTACATTACTCAACATAGTGAGATGAACGACTAGTACATTACTCAACATAGTGAGATGAACGACTAGTACATTACTCAACATGGTAAGATGAACGACTAGTACATTACTCAACACACTGGGATGGTTGACTGGTACATTGCACGAATAGTAAGCCATACGAAGTGTCGCATACGACTTATTTACTACTTCCGTGTCACCGATAATGTTCTAGAACCGTACTGGGTGGAATATTCTAGTTTTTTTAGAGACTGGTTGAATAGGTAATAGAACACTGTAGGAGGCAATAGAAGGTAATGGAACATTCTAGAAATCTGTAGTAAGTTGCAGACTCATTATGTATGCTGGTGTAATGGTCTATTTATAGACAGTGTGGGTATATATAGGGGAGTTGTTCAGCACTGAGATCAGACCGGAGATCTCGTTGAATTGTGTCGGAGTTTAAGTATCTAGTTATCGGAGGTTTGGAGTTTTACCGCGTTATTGTACTTGATGTTTGCAGAGTATAATAATACCAGTACCAGTTGAAACCTCATCTGTTGGCTCCTTGTTCGTATGCTATCATCGCCGCCAGGGAAGTCTTTATGTTACTGTTGCCATTTTTGTATTTGATCCATCACACCTGTACTATACCAATTTACGGTAATATTACGTTGCGTGTGACACGAAGTACTGATATGATTTAAATATTCTTCGCCACCTCAGACACGCTTCCAGTATAAGCCATTGCCTCTCTCCACTGACGAGCAAACGTGTATTCCCAATGTCAGACCCCCCAATATAACCTGTTAAAACAACTACTTGTTTAATTCTGTTTTACGTACCTTATAGAGAAGATTTGACATCATTTCCGCTTTTTTCATGGAGTCTATACATAACAACCAGAGTTATGTTTACATAGTGTCAGGAGTAGTCAGAGCGATGTACATAGACACTTACATGGTTGTGAAAACCTGTCATATGCAATCTATCATGCATCAACTGATATATCAACACTTGGCACGTAATTGTGAAGAAACTAAGCTACGGTGGCTTGTAACAACATATTAATCATGCTGAGTTTGAAAACCTATTAAAAAAGTGTATAAATATATTATTAAAGAAGTCAGTGTTTGCCTAGTGTAGAACATGCGCTTAGTAACTACTCCACACTCATATTTCCTTGTTAAATATCGTTGAAATCAAGCAGTCTAATTGTGCAAGTCTTCCTGTAAGCAGTTACGTTGCCATAGTTATTGACATTAACGACCTTTGCTAGCGATGACCACAGAGGTGATAAATACTGTCCGAGAAAATGTCGGCAATACGGCAATATATCACTGACCGATCGAATATGAGAGTTTGCGCCTGAGCGCAGATCATTTGTCGGACGTTGAGGTGGCAAATGTTCTCCTTCTACAAATACACATATGCCTTTATCCGGGCTGTTACTATGTAGTAATATTCATTACATGCCTCCTCGAAGTTATACAGGAGTTCACAAATATCGCCGTTAAGCAAATCCATCTGAACTTTTGTGAGCGCTGCCATCTTTACCCAACGTTCTTTGCATAGCAACGTTGTGTATAGACAGCAGCGGTACCGGTCAATACACGCTTCAGTGGACTGCACAATTCCCCGGATGTTTCTATACTAAACCATGTATCGAAGGAATGTAATGAACAAGTATTAAAACAGGACGACATGTGTTTGTATACCTAATTGCTCAATTGAAAAACAACAACGCAGTCTATCAAATTTTATCTATTTCAAACAGTATCTACATTGTATATTATGTGATGCCTTTTATTACAAGGATGTATATTTTTTCTTTTAGGAATTCTCGAGAACTAACGTCAATTGCTCGTTGTAAGCGAGAGAACCAAACAATCTGTTTATCCCCCCCCGCCAATATTGTACCTTTCTATGCCGTCATCGCGTGCCCTTGCGTTCACGTTATTTAGAAAAGTATAATGGCGAAGGAGAATATAACGAACAACATTTATGTGGGACAAGTCGTATTGCTCAACGAGACCTCGGCGGCCATGATTTATTATTCGAGCATGCAACAAACCCATAATGCCATTTTTTGGAAACTTATTGTCTTTACTCGATTAGACCCTACCTACCCTTATATTCATGTGCTATCTTAACATGTGCGGCCCATTTATATGCAATCGTCTGATTGAACAGAACGGCACATAGATGTTCTTACTATTCAGCGATCAGCGATGTACATTTCCTTCTCTGTGATTTAAGTAAGGTCGTACACTTTCTTAAAGTGTCTATAGGAAACGCACATTCAATCAAGTGATAATAGAAAGGCTCATGGACAATACCATCGGTGAAAGTTATGAGCTAAATATATATTCCCGGAACACTGAATGTGTGCAGCTTCCATGAAAAGGTCATTAGCGTGTAATTGACTTAAAAAACAACCCCGGAGTATATACGGTATTGAGCACAAACTAAGAAGTAGGCTCTAATGTCGACAGGCGTAGTGCAGTGAATATGCGAATTCAATAGAGCTTTGTGTTGTATAATAAACATGGATGAAGGATCTTTCGTTACTATAGTGAACAACAATAGCATTCAGCTAAGTGGTTGCCGAGTAGGAAACCATTTAATAGTTCATGATAAGCAATATTGCAAACGTTTACATATCCATGAAGGCACTCGAATAACCACTGGATTATATTTATGCAACTGGCGACGCAACGAAACTGGCAGGGTCGTGACAAGAATGAGTAACGTAATTTAAAACACAGACTTTATAACACAAAATCATAATTAGAAACACAGACTTTATAAATGCACTGACGCAAATGCTAAACTGATTAACTTGCTCAGTTATGCCATGCAAATACCGTAGAACGTTTCGATATCGATTATTTGAACTGATTTATATACAGTCAGCCAAATGATGCAGTCTCCTGTTATACCACGTAAAATAAGACAATCAATAAACGTAAACGCGCTACAATCGGAACGCAGCGCTCGTTAAAATCTCGAGTAAACAAACAAATTACACGCGGCGTATACGTCACACAGAACTCACACGTGACCTATCGTGACAACTGTGGCGCATTAACACAGTTCCAGTTACAAAAGTTTGTTTTAATTCTCAACTAGTTTTTAAAAATATAGAAGCACGTGACTAAATAATGTTGTGTGATGTGATTATAAAATGCCTTGGTCTACCATGATTACTCATATTAGGACTCAGTTCAAATTAACCTATATTGTTGTCAGTCGTTAGGATGACGTGCGTCTGCTGTGTGTCGCGACCATATCCAATTTTAAACATTCATAAACATACGTTTTAAATTGGGATGATTTATCAATTTCGAAAAGATATTTCGGCATGAATAACTAGTGATTATGTTTTATATTCTTCTTTCAGTAATCAGAAAGATATTGACCTAAGTCATGATTACGTATTACTAAATCCGAAAATATCAGTTATCAAAGATCATCTCGCGTATTGCGGAAAATGCGCGGATTGAACCGCAAAAATCATCGAATAATTTGATTTCGAACTTGAATTTCTGTTTTTGTATAGGTCAATGTCGAATTGCCGATTTCCGGGGGGGGGGGATATGACGTTGGGATACACTTACTCCATTTAAATTTGGGATCACCGAATGAGTATAGCTTATTATTAAGTGCGACGCATAGAACACCTCCATAACATTATCGCGTTCGTCGAATTCTGAGCGACACTGAGACCCTTGTTTGTCCCCTTTTTACGTTCGAATTAACGCATAACGCGTAATCTCGCAGTGAACAGAAAATGGTTTATTGTGTGTTTTCCGTTCATCTTATTCAGTATATACTGTCACGATAATGTGGCTACCAATTGTGACTTCACATTATCTACTGTATTCCAGATTATTGTGTGGCGTACTGGAAACAGCAGTGTGTACGTCAGTCTAGGCCTCGTGTGTATAAGAGCTTTCAAACGAATGCCACAAGCACAGGAATCATTGGTTTCTGTCGTCAAGATTAAGCGAATAATTGTGAATCCGTTGCACACCTGCCTTGTGATATTAGTACTTCTAGTGTCCAGTGAGTCTCAATTACGATGAAAATGTAATGTGCGGTGTCGCTATGCAGGTCCCCTGATTTCCCGAGGGATCGTGAGTTTCCACGTCTAAAGGGAAATTCCGGTAATAATTAATTCCGGATAGTCACTTCCCTCTTGGATATCAAACAGATAAACGATGGCAGCAGTACTGATATGTTACCGTTATTCATATGTTATATATAATCATCGTAATATGCTCGAAGTAACTCTAATGGTCATATACATTTGTTTTAAAGTAGAAGCTGACACCTGAAAATCATGATCACGCCAGTTTCCAAACATCTCGGGGTGGGTCATGAGGCAGTTAGAGTAAGACAACACAATAGATGATTTCCGTTTGTGTATATTTCTACCATGGTAAATTTATGTTGCCAGGGTTCTTGCATTTGGCTGTTGAACCCGATTGATTAATGACCAATATCTTATCTTGTAATCCACGCACGTACTGATCTCGAAGCATTATTGTTATAATTGGGTTCTCAAATATAATAGCAAAAAACTTGTTCAAATTCAGCTGGTAATTTTTTTCAAGCTGGTATAAATTCAAGCAGATGGATGTTAATTCATACAAACAGACTAAAATATCATCAACATATGAAAACGTTGTATTCTATGACGGCGTACATATCTATGCATTGTTCTTAAAAAGCATGTGTATTTTCTTTCCTAAAAATCTGACTAACTTTAAGTTGGCAGTTTTTAATTAGAACACGCCACCAACGGCACGCTATGTAATAAAGCGTGAGTGTGATACGCAGTACGATACATGCAAACTTCTATATTTAAATTATAAAAATGACGACGTTTTTTCGCATAGATCTCTTTATCTCATATAAGGAATTAATGAAATTAAATAAGTTTATTTGTCTGATGTTTTTTTTATTGCTTTCACAGCTTGTCAAGATGTTCGCGTTGATAGTTCTGATATTTGCGTTATGTTATTTACCCATCCACACATTCACCCTGCTTCTGGACTATCATAATGAAATAACGATGTTCCGCTACATAAAAGTGGTCTACTTCGCCGTACATTGGACAGCTATGAGTAACTGTGTCTACAACCCGTTTGTGTACTGTTGGATGAACGCCAAGTTCAGAAATGGGTTTAAATATGTGTTTCGTTTCTTGCCGTGCGTCCATTACACACCCACGGAAAAGGGTCCATTAAGGAGGGTCAGCACATACACAACCCAGGTGGGCAGCTTCAAGATGACACTACGGAAAGAGAACAGTCTATCTCCATATAGCAACGGTGGAATGCATTGCTAAGAACTCGATAATATAATTACACATTACCGACAGCCATATTCCCAAGTGCAGTGGACTACAGAAGAGCATATGGAATTGCCTTTATTTATTTCCTGTTTTAGTACCACCGGACATTTCGACTGCCTGATCTCATCAGACAATATACCGTTGTTGTTATATGTGAGAGGTCTGTTTAAATTTAACAGAATAATTTAGTTTACTGGTGTTTTATTATTTGTAGATTATTTTTATCTACCGTATTTACAGAATCTGCAGCTAAATTACCTGGTTTTTGTTGAAGTGTTATTGGTACCCAGTTTATATTTGATATTTTATGGGTGCAATCAGTTATTTAATATTAGGATAGATTATGACAACTTCATACGCAGGAGGCAACATATATGTTTTGTTATCTGATTATTTGCCAATCTATCCATTTAATTCATAAATGTTATAAATTGATTATGTGTAACAAACTAGTGTTTAACACTCCCTCTGTTGGCTGATAATGACTGTTTATGCCAGGCATCAATTACGCGAACCACTATGCTGTTTCTATAACTACGCCCTCTAGTGTCGGAGCGCTTGTGTGTCGTCAAAACCACGTGAATGGGTGAGGTCAATGTCGTTGAAATCAATACCTGTGTTTGTTTTCTTTTATCCGGACGTCATCTAGAATATAGTTAGGTCTTGTAAATTACCCAATTTTCATTTATGAAGGTCTATATACAGATCAAAACGATATCGACACATGAATAGCTCCCATGTCATCAATTACGTCACACACGCAGTTCATCGCTAGAGGGCATAAGTCAAACTAATTGTTTTGATTGTGAGCGATAATTGACTATAGATTCTGTCATATTGCTCTTTATATCCATAATCAGCGTGGACTTACAACCTGATGCATACTAAATCGTATACATCTAAGAATACAAATGTGACTTATAAGCCCTTACCCACCGATGGGATTACCTGATTAGGAATTGATGCAGGTTTCATGAGCGCTTAACATCGGAGGTTAGCTATACAAACTGAGATTGTCTTGTAGCTATCGGTATGAAATGCAATCAAATGTTAATAAATTGACAAGATATCGTAATTGTCCGACACAGTCACAATAATTCTCTGTAATAGCATATCTCAGAGGGTTATTTGTATTAAAAAGCCCGTTACATATCTATTCTCGTTTCGCTAACACTAATAGCCGTCGCGCAGGGTAAAAACATGTTAAAACAGAAAGGTGGTGATTATATCTATGGGGGGGGGGGGGCTCAACAACACTACTTTGACTAGCATCTACTACTAAAGGTTATTGTGGCAAAGGTCAACGATTCATTTTTACGAGACATTGACTTTTCTTCTTTGTGGTTTCCTGCTACATTCTCACCAGCTATAAATATCCGGGGTAGTAGCTTGCAAAACGACACCTTGGTGCATGGGTTGTTGTTAATCTCAATGTTCATTGTAACCATGTTTGCAACAAAGAGATTTATATCTGTAATTATTCCGTCATATAATCAATATATATATATATATCTATTTTAATTATATTTGTAGCTATGGATACGGTATTTATTGCAAATAATGTACGTGTCTACATATATTGTATGTAAATATGTGTACATCGAAGTGTATTAATTCTTACTATTTACTATATACTATCCTAATGTGACATATACAAAGCCAAACTGTTGCCAGTGATCTTAATTTGTACGATTCAACGAATTATCTCCAGGCTTTATTAGAAATAAATAAATCCGACATCACAGGGTCAAAGGTTAGAGTGAACAAACCCAACGAGGGGGATAAGAATGGTGTATTTTGGTGGCAACATAACACTGGCATACTATATTTGGTTTATACATATGTTTCTGTCACTGTGTATAATATCAGAATAAATTTATAATGTCACACACCTTGCGTTTAATGAAACATGAACAAGTTATTCGTAAAATGTTGAATTCAATTAATGTTCACAATTTGAAATTAAAACTTTAAAAATGAGACAACTGTTCTGCAAGTGAAAGCACATATTTTAATCATCAGTAGGCAGGTACCTATAATATTCTCGTTAACTCTGGACAGACCATCGGGAATTCACTAACAAGATTTGGGAATTCTGTATACATGTCTTAATATACTGTACTAATGAGATGTTCAGGGAAAGTATGTATATGTGTTGATTGCCATTACGTTACACATTGTGCATGCTTGGAATCTATACAAACCTCAATTCATTACATCATGGGAATCTCAATGCGAATGTAATGCATTACTATTATCGGAGTCAAAGCGAGGCTACTTATAAAATTGTGCCTGATTGGCTACCAAACCGTAACACCTAACAGTCAGATCTACCAGAGAGCAGCTTATTTGTTGAAAAGTTTTTTTTTTGCTTGTCGACGTAACAAATCACCGTTGTGTATATGCTCCGACTCGAATGCAAACGTAATGCACAGTGACCCGTGCAAAATCTACCTATGATGGTGAGAATAGAGAATTAGCTCACTGTTCTAACATTACATAGTTGCACAGTCAAGAAGTCTGTTATACAAATAACTTATTATATTATTATTGCATGGTTCAACATTGTTCAGTACAATCAAATAATAATGTATATTTACAACGGACTTGTTGAGGTGCGCACGCGCTTGTTTCCGAACTCAAGATTCTCATAGTTTAAGAAAATAAGACACGCGAACAATTAATCTGTTATTTGATTCATCACTATGCATCACGCTCTTACACACACATACACACCCACCCACACACACACACACATATCTTACTCGAATCCTATTTGTCTCTGTATGTGTTCCCGGCATCGACAAATAAAACATTCACCCTGCTGCGAATCCAATGAACACTAGTGAATAGTCAATGATGCGCTAGGCAAGCATGTATATTGATTTGTAAGAGTTTTACACCCCGACGATCATGTTAACATGCTGTTTGTTGGACAACTATATTGTCCCCCGACTACAATGTATCGTAACATTCTGTGTATACTAGTAAGCAGTCGTCGGATTACTTTTTGCTTTGTTACACCGGCTGAATTAATGTGTAATCACACACGTCTTTCAACATGTCCCCGTGAGTTACTGAGTGCCGTAGTTTTACAGTGATACACAAGGTAGGTGCAACCTACTTTATTTCAAATATGAAACGAACGTTTACCGTGATGGCGTCGACGTTAGAAAACTAAGTTCATAGCGAGAAAATTCCATTCATTTTGACATTTTTAATCATTTCTTGGCTTCACACTTCACACATGGACAAATTGGGAAGATATATAATTAATTATAAGGTAATACAAGGAAACAGCAAAAAATGCACCCTGACATTACACGATCACATCGACCGTCGGTCGGTCGACACACTTACGTCGTTCATTATCTTTGCGGCTTTCACCTGATAATCTCATAGTATCTGTATTATTTCAGTTATATCTATTTGTACATCTGAATCCCTCCAGAGATACTCAAATACAGTGACATGGCCATCCGGTGAGCTACACTTGAAATCGTCAATGTATGAAATTAAAATAAAATCAACTTTACGTTGTGGTAGATTTCGCCTAAATTGGCGGGTGTTTGACATGTTCAGATATTGCTAAGAAAAAATGCTTACTGGGCTACAAAGCTTACGTGATTAAAAGCCATATATTCAGAACTAACCCCACAATCTTTACGCATGAAGAAACAAGCTGAGATGAAAAAAGCATGTTGCTGTCAACATGCTACGTGACGCCACATAATCAATTCGTAACTTGTCACGACAAACCCCGGGGGTGACACTCTGTGTGATCATTATATGCTTCTTTCTCTGAGAATTACTCATAAACTCTTTCAATTTATACTGAATCTGGGAGAAAATTGGGGTGAAAAACACCATCGTTTTTGAAAGTGTAAGAGTCAGAGAGAATAATATACATGTATCTTATTTCTATGTGTGACGGAGTTACACACATGTATTCAAATGTAATAACCTCCAGGAATTATTTGTATATAAATTAAAGAAGACTTTAAAATCACACTACTTCTATTCTGAGAGATAAAGGGAAATACCAGTATTCTAAGTTTGAAAAATACTTCTTTATTTCTGATTTCAAGGCCATTAGACAAAAACGCTCTTTTCCCCTGAGGTCAGAAACGGGGATGGGTATACTATTATTATAGTATTTATTTTCCTATCAAAGCAAACATTCAAAAACGACATACAGTATTATCACTCAAGTACTTGGGTAGATCTGTAAGATGCGCTAACATTGACTCGATTCAGTGGCGCATACGGGAACCTAAATGTCAAGATATGCAATGTTCTGGTAAGTGCCTCTTTCTATTCCATCATGCAGGTCCTTCAAGTTCATACGGCACTCACTGCAGTGTACTCAAAGACGTACTTGTAGCGGCAGAGCATTGGAATAATAAAACTGAATTCAATTACGTCCGTGCTTTGAATTATTTTTCAGATCTACCATTAGTGAGTTTTTTTCGTTCGATCTGGTAAACCGCAAAACAAATTCTGTCATTGTTTTGACAGTGCAAAAGATGAAAAGAAAATGATAGAGTTTGGCCTTTGTAATGACAAGAAACTCCACGTTCGTTTGCGTCCCCTCATTGTTTTACAGATACTATTATATTATCCTGTACGCAACATGTTTATTGTGTGGCTTGTGGCTTTATTTGTTACTACTACGCACTGTGATATTAAACATCATTCTTAAACCATG